CCCCCCACCCCCCCCCCCCCCCTCTCCCCCCTCCTTTCCCCAGTCTCACCAGAGTTTCATTCCCCCCCCCCCCCGTTAGTTTTGTTAAATAAAGAGAGTTTGTGTTCATGAAAATATGTGTATTTTATTTGACATCAGGAAGTGGGTTTGAGGGGAGGGGTAAGTGGAAGGACATGAGGGAGGAATGAGGCACAAGCCTCCAGTGGGGCACACCAGGGAGGCTCTGAGTGCTTCTCAGGGTGGAAGCTCTCCCGCAGGGCCTTCTGGATACTGACAGCCGCCCGATGGACCTCCTGGATGTTAGCCTGCAGAAAGTGCAGCCAGGTTCGCAGCAACATGTTCATGAGAAGCACCAGAGTGCCCAGGGGCAGCTCTGGCTCCATGTTGCAGAGTGCTATGGTGTCCCGAGTGAGGGCAACCAGAACACTCCGAGACACAAATGCTTTGCTGTCCCTCAGCAAGGCAGGCAAGCAAGCAAGCAGGGACACCTGGGAACCGGCTGCCCGTGTGTGTGTGTGTGTGTGTGTGTGTGTGTCCCTTTAAGCACAAGCTTCAGATAGTCTCAGGCAACAGCCACACAAAGACACTCCTGACCTGATGCCCTACCCCTGATCTGGTTCCGGCCAGCCTTAAATCCGAATCAGTGTCCACTCAGTGTGGACGCGGTATTTTGAATTAGCAAAACGCTAGTTCGAACTGCATTTTGTGTGTAGACATGTTAATTTGTATTAGCTTAATTCGAATTAACTATTTCGAATTAAGATAACTCGAATTAACATTGTAGTGTAGACATACCCTCATAGAGCCTCCGTCAGCTAAGTAGATAGACCCTAGGCTTTCTCCCTCCTCCCTGCTTTTGTCTCCCAGTCTTTCAAGATTCATGATAATTTGTGGTAGACTTCTAACATGAAGCATCTTGGATTTATTTTAGACTATAGTTTTCCAATCGCCTCTCAGAAGGCCCTGCCCAAGGGAAACAGTACGCAGGCTAAAGACAACTGGGAAACAGCCTCCCTTCAGCCATCGTTAGATTCCATGGAGCCTGATCCACATAGACCTTTCTCCGGTGCTCTGGAGGAAGAGGAAGGGCTGCTCCCCATAAACCAGTCTAAGGAAGAGCAACAGAGCAGCCAGGATCACTGGGCAAAGGACATGTTTTCAGAAGCAGCTGGTCAGGAGGACTCCTTGTTCTCCCTCCTTTTCTCCACAACTTCCAGTAGACTGGGTGTTGTGACTGAGGCAGCTGTAGAAAGGCAAGAGGAGGCCTCTGTTCCTGAGCACATCTCTTCGGGCTTTGACCTTGGGAGCAGCATGGGGCCCAGTCTGCTGCCTTTGTCCTCCATCTTGTCAGTTACCACTGCAGGATCCCAACGTGTCTCGGAGCAGCCCATCGAGGTGACTTCAGGAAATATAGGGACTACGCTGGGAGCCAGAGTGGAGCTCGCATGGACCGTCGCAGCAGCAGAGTCCGCACAGACCAAGGTGGGAGATGGAATGGAGCCCACAGAGCTCCCAGTGAGAGGGGAGCTGTTGGATCCCACAGTCCAAGTGGGAAGAGAGCAAGTGGGGCCTACAGTGCTGACTGGAACAGCGCAAATGGAGGAAACTCCTGAGGTAACAGCATCTCCTGGAGGAAACCCCCAAGATCTCAAGATTGTTTCTGGTACTACTGGTGGCCCCCCAGATACTACTGGTGGCCCCTCCTCAGCGCCTCCCTTGGATGGGTCTGATGAGCCAGCTCCAACCCCATTCCGAAATGGCACAAAGCAGACTACTGAGGCCACCGCGGCAGAGCAGAGTCTTGTGCCACAGACTGGGGATGCCCACCTGGCTGTGCTGTCAACAGGAACGCCTTGGAACTCGGCACAGGTATCCCATTGTGTGGGTGGAGGGGGACTCATTATGGAATATGTTTGGGTATTAACCCTTCCTCTCCCAGTGCTGTGTGATAGGAACTTCTCCTCACTTCTCCTTACTTTCAAATGCCCCAAGGCTAGTGAGTAGAAATAGTTGCTGGGACTTTTTCCATGACTTCACTAAAGATTGTAGGGCAGGGGTTCTCAAACTTTGTGATACTGCGACCCCCCTCTAAGTTGCTCGCGGGGTTGGGACCCACAGTTTGAGAAACACGGTTGTAGAGGATTGTTCCCTCTCTCATGGCACATTGTGGAGGTGCCTCAGATACTGAGTGAATGGGGTGGGGTGTCAATGCACAAGAAATCCTTTTACGCAGTTTTGCGTCTACTCTGCTGCCTGCATGTTTTAACCAATGTGACTTTTGGGCAGCAATCAGCTGTGAAAAAATGGAAAGCAAGCTCCTTGCAAGCCCAGTTATATTTCTTCAGGCTGCATTATTGGAAACATAACTGCATGAATGGCCCTGAACATCTCTGGGAGGTGCCTTCGCTGCCACTACCCGTATTGCAACTCTTGGTGCTTAGACAAATGCAGGGCAAGTGGAGCACGGTAGCAATACACTGCTCCTTGTCAGGCGGGAATTACAGGACAGACGTACAGTAAGTTGCAGAGAGGTTCAGGGGAAAATTATAGTGGTTAGAGTGGTGGTGTCCAACTAGTTCTAAAGCATTAGCCACTATAGTGCCTACTGCTGTAGCAAACTAGCCACACTCAATTGGCCAAATAGCCACATTGTTCAAGCCAACTAACTGCACTCAACCAGCCAAATAGCCACATGTGGCTAGTGATTAGTGTGTTGGACATCATGGAGTTAGAGCATTACCCTGGCCTCTGGGAAACATGTTCAGTAGCTGCTCTTCCACTAACATCCTGTTTGACCTTGGGCAAGTCACTTAGGGTATGTCTACACTACCACCCTAGTTCGAACTAGGGTGGTAATGTAGGCAACCGGAGTTGCAAATGAAGCCTGGGATTTTAATTTCCCGGGCTTCATTTGCATCTCGCCGGGCGCCGCCATTTTTAAATGTCCGCTAGTACGGACTCCGTGCTGCGCGGCTACATGCGGCACGGACTAGGTAGTTCGGACTAGGCTTCCTATTCC